TCCTTGGAAGGTTCTTTCACATCTCCCAAGAGGTAACCCAGTTTTCCCCTTCCTCCAATATCCATCATGGCTGATTGAGCCCACTCCAAGTAATTTGACCCATCAAATGTCATAGTTGTAATCTAAAACCCGGTTTCGGATACACTTCCATAACTATTGTTTCCAAAGCTACTTTCTCCCTGACCCTTAAACTCCATCTTTGATCAAAAATCAGTGGCTACAAACTGTTAGAGCCACTATACCAGAAAACAAAGTGAAATCAAGCAGGTCTGAAATCTGATCTGAAACCAACACAAATCTGATCTGAAATCTAACCCAAATCTGATCTGAAATCAATCGCCTATCACAGTATATGCAAGAAATCAACTCAAATCTGATCTGAAATCAATCGGCATGCACAGTACCAGGCAGCCTGTCAAGGTTTTATCCTCTAGAAGAGCAATCTGAGATGCTATTTTCTGAAATCACTACTGTGGGGCCCACTGCTGCGAGAGTAGGATTAGGGTTTCAACTGTAGGTCTGAAATAAATGCTCAGCTGCACTCTCCAAGCAGTCCACACAAGTGGGACTTGTCTTAGGGTCAATATGAAACCCTAAAAACTGATCACCTCTGAGAGGGGGTTCGGCCCAACAGTCAAACCCTAGAAACAGACTTAAAAATAGTTCGGCCTCTCCTTCTAGATAGGTCCAACCTATCTCTACTGATTGCAGTCTCTGAAACTAAAAAAAAACTTACTTGTGGATGACGGTTTACTGCCTTCCAGGGTTACCTGAACCCTAATCGCTGCTTCTTCCTGATTACCAGCTCTCTGCAAACCGCGGCAATTCCTCAACTGCTGCGAACCTCTCTTGGTAATCTCCAAGATTCAGCCGCCAAATACTTCTTCATAAGCTTCCAGCCCTAGCTAGTCCTCATGTGGTCGGCTGGACTAGACAAACATGAGAAGCCCTAGATTGGCTCTGATACCAAGTAGAAAATCAAGACTGTAATCAGTCTTGAATCCTAATAGGTTTTAGGTTTACAAAACAGAATGAAAGTGAGAGAAGGGAGAGGGAATAGAAGAGAAACAGGAGAACACAAGAGGTTGAAAGGAGGGACAGATTCTAACAKATCTGCCGCCGCCAYTCACTTATTATTTATAGGTTATGTTCAATACATAATGGAAAGGACAGATCTGCCCTTAGTACTTTACATGATAAATAAAGTAAATAAAACTGAAATAAATAACAACTGAATTAACAAACTGACACTACTATAACTGAAACAAATAACTACACATGCTGTCCTACGAACACAGTGGGGACCACTGATGTGGGGCTCACATCAGTGTTCTCTACAGGATAATCATATAAGTGTTTAATCTTATGCTTTTGGACATGGCAAAGGAAACCATTCACCCTTCGTCCTCGTGTTTTTGGTTGTATTTGCTTTGTTCATAAATTGAGTTTAGGCCATAAGAAACATGATTCTTGAGCAATCTGGTGTGTATTCCTTAGTTATTCGTTTACTCAAAAGGGATATAATGCTATGACCCTATTCTTCAGAAGTCTAGTTCTGGATGTTACCTTTGAGAATCTTCCCTACTTTTCTAGATGGGAACCCTCTCCCTCTATTCTTCTTCCTTCTGATTCAGGTGAAACCTTTATTCCTCTTCCCACTATCAAGGAGCCTCTATGACCATCAATTTATAGTGTATTGCAAGCAAGATCGAGAACCCACACCAATATTAGCACCATTTCCCACTCCAACTTCTGATCCACCACCAATGTCTCAACCATTACTAGATCCTCCCTAGTCGGACCTTGATCTTCCCACTGCTCTTCGTAAGGGTAAGCATGCTTGTATTGATCATTCTATTTCACGATATGTTTCATAAGTTCACTTATCTCACTTATCTCTTGCTCTTCGTAAGCCTTTACCTCACCCACCTAGAAAGAGGCGATGGATGAGGAATTTCATGATCTTCAGTCCAACCATACTTGGGACCTCACCTCCTTGCCTCCTAATAACAAGCAATTGGTTGCCAGTAGGTTTATACAATCAAGCATAGACAAGATGATAGCATTGAGAGGTTTAAAGCCCAACTGGTGGCCAAAGTACACAAAGATATGGTGCTGACTATTTTAAGATCTCCCCAATTGCCAAAATGGGCTCCATTCGGGTTATCATATACTTAGCTACTCATTTTGACTAACCCCTTTTTCAACTTGCTATTAAGAATGCCTTTCTCAAAAATGATCTATAGGAGGTGTACATGGAGCAACCCCCTGGGTATGTTGCTTAGGGGGAGGTAGGAACAATGTGTAAATTGTAGAAGGTTATCCATGGGTTGAAGCAATCCCCGCAGGCTTGGTTTAGCCATTTTAATAGTGTGGCGGGAATTTGGCCTGAAGCAATGTAGTGTTGACCATTCTGTGTTTATTTGGAACACCTTGTATGGGAAGGTTGTCTTGGCTATCTATGTTGATGATATAGGTTCATAGGTAGTGATGCACAGGGAATTATTGAAGTGAAGCATCTCATGCAATAACATTTTCAAATTAAGGATCTAGGTTCCTTGAAGTATTTCTTGGGCATTGAAGTTTCCTATTTTAAGTGGAGAATCTCCTTGTCACAAGGGAAGTATGTTTTGGATCTGTTAGATGAGACCAAGCTATTAGGTGCTAAGCCAGTTGAGACACCTATGGATTCCAATGTAAAGGTCACTAATGGTAAGGGGGAGCTATTGAATGATCCTGGAAGGTATAGGAGGTTAGTTGGCAAGTTGATCTACCTTAATATCATCCATCCTGATATCTCCTTTAGTGTAAGTGTGCTAAGCCAATTTATGCAGAATCCTACAACTACTTATTGAACAGGTGTTGTTAGAGTGTTGAGGTACCTAAAGGGTGCTCCAGGTCAGGTCATGATCTATTATATAAGAAAGGGGAGAATTCTCCCTTGAAGGGTATTCAGATGCAGATTGAGTGGGGTCCTCTATGGATAGAAAATCTACCACAAGTTATTCTACCTTCCTATGTGGAAATCTACCACCACTTGTGAATTGATTTGGTTAAAGCATCTCCAAGAGATTGGCATTCCTATTAGCAAAGCGAATTAAGCTCTTCTGTGATAACCAAGCTGCCACACACATTGCTTCCAATCTAATTTTTCACGAGAGAACCAAACACATAGAAGTTGATTGTCATTTTGTAAGTGAAAAGGTGACAAGTGGTGATGTAAGATCAAAAGATCAACTAGTTGATATATTCACCAAAAGATTAAGCCATGCCAAGATGGGTTACATTTGTAACAAGCTAGAGCTTTATAATATATATTCTCCAGCTTGAAGAGGAGCGTTAAAGTTTATTTGCAGGAGTAATATTGTCTTTGTTTCCTTTTGTTTCTTAGTCTTATGTCTTATGTAACTCTTGGAGGGTATTCTTGTAATTTTGGTTTTTATTAGAAGCCTAATAAAACAAAGGTCAATAGGAGGGAGAGAGGTATGTTTGAATCTCTCTCCTGGACCTTATTTCTTCTTTCTTTTTGGACCTTGTCTCAACTGAATCTCTTCCTCTTTGCTTTTCTTCTTTATTTCAACTTTTCTTTCACCCCTTTTTGGCTTTTATCAGAACCTTCTTACATTCCTTGCTTCATGATTTATTTCTCCATTTTATTTTCTTGGAGTGTTTTATATTATAAAATCATGTCTCTCTTATGGTTAAAATATTGATTTAATGCATCCATGCTAACCTGATAAAGGTAAGACAAGTAGGCATGAAAATTTCAAACTTGACTTCTCATGTCCCTGTGAACAAGGATCCAACCGCTAAGAATTATATGTGATGCTCTCATATGGAACTAATCCAGTTATTTAATCTTCTACCTAGAGTTTGTAAATTCTCACTAAAACCTACAATATGTTTCCTAAGAACCATGTTGATAGAATCATGTTGGGTTATAAAATTGATTGTAGAATTTGTATGTTGTATCTGATTCTTACTAGATCCAATATTAGAAAAAACCCAGATTCTATAATGCCATGAAAATGGCCCCTAAGTCTATATGGTGAATGCAATATATCTATATGATTTTTTTTCCAGTTTTAAGTACTAACACTCTCTGCAGTATTAGCGGAACAGACTATGGATCTGTGAGAATAGGTGCCTTTATGGGTCGAAAGATGATAAAGTCTATTGCATCATCTTTACCATTCCATTCATTGTCAATTGATAATTCTCATGAGCATGTGAACGGGAAAATTTCTGACAACATTGAAAAGGATCATGGTGAAATTCTTGAAGCTGAAGCTTCATTAGATTACTTATGCAACCTGTCTCCTTGCAGGTTAGTCAACTCTTTCTTCCACTGTAGTTGTGAAATTATGAAGCTGTCCTTGATAAAAGGGCATAAAACAAATCAATAACTTTCAATCATTGGGTTCTTTGGTACCTATCAGAAAAAAAAAAAAATCATTGGATTCTTTGGTAAAGAAGGCCCTGCAATCCCTGGTCACACATGTTTCTTTCTTTAATTTTCATCTTCCTTTTGGATTGCACCTTTTTCTTAAAAAATATTGACATTCATTTCTTAACCTGATAACAGAATATTGATCTTAAACATATATTATAATTCCAAAGATTTAAGGATTGGTTTTCATATGAAACAATCAAAATAACTTCCAATCCCTTTATTTATGTATTCAGATATGAATCAGTTTATGCAAAGAGACTTCCTGAATCCTTGCTTGGTGAGAAATTCCTAGAGAAGTATGTTGATCATGATGATGAAGTAACAGTAATCGACCTTAAACGTTGCTATGGAGTGAGAGCAGCTGCTCAACATCCTATCTATGAAAATTTTTGCGTCAAGGTTATTTTTTATTGTTGATGGATAATATTATAAAGTCAAAATAAAATATAGAAAGTTCTAAACATGAGTAAGAAGAATATCAAACCTGAAAAACCCGCCCAAGCCCATCCCAAGTGGCATTAGGTTTATCTTAGCTGGGATTTGGTTTGGTAAGCTTTGGCTCTGATTGTTGCTTCTGTATACTTTATAGATCACTGAATGTGCCTCTGTATGGATCAAACAAATTGATAGTTGCTTGTTTGTGCTTATGATAATTACTTGAACACTTTTTAATTGATGTATAGGCATTTAAAGCACTGCTAACATCTCAAAGCTCAGATGAACAACTTTCTGCACTTGGAGAGCTGATGTATCGGGTAATTGTTTAAAATTCCATTTTCCATGTACTTCACTATAACTTCAAGAATATGACTTCTTGGCATAGGGTTCAAGTTAACCTTCTCAGATTAATAATTTTCTTGCAGAAGAGAATCAAAAATCATATTTCTACTTAATAGACACCCTTGTATTGCAGTGCCATTACAGCTACAATGCTTGTGGACTTGGTTCACATGGAACAGATAAGCTTGTAAAATTAGTACAAGAAATGCAGCACAATAAATTGTCTAAATCTGGAAAAGGTACTTTATTTGGGGCAAAGATTACAGGAGGTGGCTCTGGTGGAACAGTTTGTGTCATAGGAAGGAACTGCCTACGGAGCAGTGAGCAAATTCTTGAGGTAACTTTCTTATATCACTAATGTCAAAGAATGTAAAATTAAAATATGATTTTCTCTGACTTCTCTACTGCTAAAACCATAAAACATTCCAATATTCATGCTAATTATCCCTAATTGCTGATTATGTTGTTTCTTTATTTGCATTGCTTGTCAGTTCACAATTTGGTTATGGTTTATAACTTAATATTTATATCTTGGGTCAAGGTTATATGTATATGCTGACAAGCCACTGGCCACAACGTTGTAATGGCTCTAATTTTAATTCCTTTCCATTTTATTCTCTCTCTCTCTCTCTCTCTTTGACCTCTAGATTCAGCAGAGATACCGAAGTGCCACAGGATATTTGCCATTCCTTTTTGAGGGCTCTTCACCAGGTGCTGGAAGGTTTGGGTATTTGAAAATCCGTAGACGCTTCATCCCAGCTTAAGTTAGTGTGTGAACATTGGCAGAAAGGTTTGAAAAGGGAACGCTTATTTTAAACACCAGTTTCTTATAGCAAGGAGGATTTCTATATGATTTTCTTCAAAGTGTTCATAAATGTTACAGTTGCAATTATTAGTGCACGTGGAATACTTGAGCTCAAACTTGGTTTGTATTGGATTGAGAGAAATGAGAGGAGAAATTTTACGAAGTTCTGGGACGGGTTATTCATTCCATACTCCCTTCTGTTTTGTATGTTAAATTAAGTTGGAATTGTAGTTCTACCCAAACTCTTTAATGCAACCCATCATTAGTTTACTGATTTTATCGATACTTCCCCTTAAGCTGGTGCATATATATCACATGTAGTTAATTTTGGTTTCTCATATGCTTTGCTAAGAGTATCTATCACCTAGCTAATCTTCAGTCTTAGCAAACAATAATCAATTATCCTTTATTGTAATCTGCTTATGAATGAAATATCTGTCTACCTCAATTGGACATCCTAATCCTAACTCATGAAGAATCATCTTCTACCAAATTATATTACAAGTTCCATGAGCCATGGCACTATGCCACTACATTGTATCTAACCACTACAAACTATTTCATACTCCCTTCACAACAATTGTGATGGCTGAAACCATCACTGATTACCCAGAAAACTTATTTAGCTTGGTCCAATCCTCAATAATAAGTTGCAGAAGCCTTGAAAGAAAAACCCTAGTCAGATCAATTAGGGAAAAGAGAGATCCATCACTTTACCTAATCTGATACCATACAAAATGTGGTATACTATAATCAGAATACTAGAACAACTCTTATATTTAAGGTATTAACTCCCTATCTTTCATTGAATGCTATTTTTTATTAATCTTGTTAATGATACCCAGAATTCCATGACCCAATCTAACATCCAATCATCCAAGATTTATATGGTGTATTTATATAATCAGATTGGGTTCAGATTTTGCAATATGCATCTAATTAATAATCGAATTGGATTCAGATTTTTGACTCTATCCAACCCGATTATATTATAATATTTATTGATTTTAATATATAAAATTTATTTAACTATATTTAAAAATATAAAAAATACATTTTATGTATTATATTATATATGTATGTATATGTATAATAAATTTAGTATCTTATATTTACATCAATTTATTATATATAAAAGTTGAAAAGTAATTATTTTTTTAATTTTTTTGTATTTTAAAAAATAAAAGCACAACCAGATTAAATCCAAATCTGATCCGAATCCATTAAGATTCAAATTCAAATATGAGGTCACCAAATCCAATCAGATTTGGATGCAAGTTTTCAGCGTCGTTTACAACCCTACCTCTTAGGGTTAGGCTAAATATCCACTTTGTAGATATTTGTTGCATCTTTTCAACAATGTGGGGAGTTGGACGACTATGAGCAATAATAGTATGGTGGCGGGAATGTCATAAGAATGGTTGCCTAAGTGTCACGAGGCTAGTCGTTGGGGCCCCATGCGGCACTCGAATGCGACAAGTAAGCCTAAGCAACAAGCAACAACACAAGAAAAAGTAACAAAGATGGTACACGAGTTAGACAAAAGGCAAATTGTATTGCATTAATGGATGGCAAGCATAAACACATAGTTCAGTGTCGAGGGGATCTCATACTTAACCTTTACATGCTCTTGATTCACTCGACTACCTACCTCCCCTCAAAGAGTGTGTTAAGCTTTTGGGGGAATAACATAAAGATACATCAAAATGATGAAAAATCATACTAAGTAATTACAAGAATGCCATTGGCAATTCCCCCATACAAAAGTACATGCATAGCCCACCCATGACACACACTTGGACACTGGAGTAGCAGTTATAGGCATGATGGATGGCACTTGATGGTGCGGCGAAGAGAACACTTGTGACATAAGTGCAGTAATTTGATACCCTAGGTGCATATCATGGCTCTTGAGGTACCAATTGACCCCAGTCATACTCAGAAGTGGTTTTGACTCAACTCCATGACGACTATAAGGATATACCATGGGCTTGTCAACAATAGGCATGAGGTCAATGTATTGAGCACTCTTTAATCCTTGGTTCTTTACTAGCATATTGGGGAAGCAAAAGGAACCATGGATTTCAAAACTAGACTGGACCGGACGGTTCTGTTTTTCCCTAAACCCGCTTTTTCCCCAAAACCGTTGATTTTGGTCAGAAAATCGCTGAACCGGTCGGTTAACCATTAAAACGGTTTTGACCATTTTTCAAATTTTTTAATTTTTTTAAATTTTTTTGTTAGATGGGCCAGCCGTATGGGTCGAACGGTTGAACTGTTCGAACCAATAACTGAACCCTGATCGGTTCAATTTTAAAAACCATGAAATGAACCATCCCTTTATAGCAATAACCTTGTGCTCTACCACCCACCCTTCTTGAGGTAGGTTCTTTGGTAAAAGAGATACAAGAGATGACAAAGGAGTATCATGACCAGATAAACCAAAAGAAGTCATCACCTGTATAAACAAAATAGGGACAGTAGTACCATAAAAAAAATATTTTACCTTGGAATGAACGATAAAGTTCTGTGCATCAAATCCTTTGGTGAAAAAGCTCTTTGTAGGCTAATCCCCAAGACATAAAGACCCCAAACCCAAAGTTTTATGAGGGCCTATTGTTAATGAATTTCTACATGCCACATCCTTGGGTGAAGAAGCTCTATGTAGGCTAATGTCTAAATCCAAGAGGCCTGAAGGTTTATGAAGCTTTGGACCTAGGGACCCTAGACTTGATAGTCTATGAGGGCCTATTGTTGATGAAGTTGTACTTATCAAGTCCTCTAGTGATGGAAGCTTTAGGTAGACTAATCTCTAAATCCAAAAGACCTCAGACCCAAAGGTCTATGAAATTGGACCTCAAACTCAAAGTTCTATGAGGACCTACTCAAGGTTCAAAGTATCAATACAGGTCGATACACCAGTAAGGCGTATCGACCTGTATCGGTGCTTTTTTTGTGTTTTTTTATTTTTTTCGAATCTGGTTCAAGGGGGTCAGTTTAAGGCCTGGATACCCTCTGAACCCTTATCTGACCCGAAACACCCTCTGTAGGGGCTTATCGGGAAGGCCACGATATGATACATATTGGGCCGTATATTTTGAACCTTAGACATACTGTTAATGAAGCTTTACTTAACAAGTCCTCTGGTTATAGAAGCTCTATTTAGACTAATTCCTAAATCCAAAAGACTTTGGACCCAAAGGTTTATGAAACTCTGGACCTAGGGACCTCGAACTCAAAGGTCTATTACTGATGAAGTTTTACTTATCAAATCCTTGAGAGATAAAAGTTCTATATAGATTAATCCCCAAATTCAAAAAAACTTCAAACCCAAAAGTCTATGAAGTTCTAGACCTAAAGACCCCAAACCCGAAAGTCTATGAGGGTTTATTAATGATGAAACCATGCAAATGTGCCAAATGGTGAAGTTCCAATTCTGCATGTTATGTACAAACAAATGGATCTCATTATACCTAGAATGAATTTTGTCCCCATCAAATAAGGTGCTCCATTATGGCTCAATTTGAAAGGAGTATAAATACAAATATATATAGTACAAATACATAGAAAATAATATAAAATATAAGATTCTATACCCTACAAATTTGTATTTGTACTCCTTCCAAACTGAGCCTATACAACAAAAATATGACAAAATGCCACATTACTTAACAATAGCGTCGTGGTACAAAATTCAAGAGAGTAGGCCACCGAGACTATCAAACAAGCATCAAAATCCATTGGCTAAGAGAACCACACATAAAAATCAAATAGAGGCTTGATTAAAGTGGCAGACCACTCCACAAACTCATCTATATTTTTATGCATGGGTTATGGAAGTTTGGCTGAAAAAGCAAAGTCATGGAGAAACAGTACACCATCTATCATTCACTACAAGAGCAACAAGCAAAAAGAATGCGACGAAGTGATGACACGAAACAAAGTACCACCTATATAGATAAAGACACTATGTACCATACAACATGGTTTTTTTTTTGTGGAAAACAACAGGAGTTGTTGGGGTATCTAAATAGGGTCATATGCCCAACAAAAGATGGATCTCCTATTTAGAGCTCTACGTTCTAGAGATATATTTTGAATATCGTCTCTAAGAATTTTTCAAGAGTCACCAAAAGAGGTTCCATGCCTCCACAAGTAAGAAATGGGTAATTAGCCATTAGCAAGACGCATCTTTCTATGTGAGAGTTTGTGGCGATGACAGCAATACCACTTTCTTCACTTAAGCTAGATCAATCAGTGTATGCAAAATGCAAAGTAAAGAGAAACAAACGGTCCCTGTCAACAAGCTAGCAAGAGATGCACTCAAGTTCAGTAAATCTATCAAGAAAAAAGAAAAATAAAAAAGTTAAGCAAAGAATGACTGGAACTGCTAAAGGTTATACAAGGGAAGTCTGGCAGAAAAACATATGATTAAAGTGTTGTCCATGAATTAACGACATTAATTCATAAATCGAAATCTTCAAACAGGAGACCTTCAAATTCATAAAGATTTGGCATAGACCTACAGGGTTAATTGTATTTTGAAAATTGACCTGTTATGTTAAAGCCAGGACAACATTCAGAAAAGCGGCAACACCACCGCCATTAGCAACAGTGGGACCAAAGGAAGGAGTAACCTAAGAGAGGAGCGAACCAAATGGAAATCGAACACATCCCCTTCAGCTCATGCAAGGATTCTAAGTTTTGGTGTGGATCTCTGACCCTTGGCAACCAACGTGCTAATATCGAACACATTCGTTTACGCATTAAGTGAAGGGGCAGTGTTAATATTGAACACACCAGTTTTAACAATTTTTTTTATAATTTATCAATTTTATCTATATCTAATATTTTTAATAATATAAAAAAGAAACCATGTTTTTTGAAAGAATGAAACCATCTGTCTTGCCGATGGATAAGCATTTTTTCAACCATCAGAATTAAATGGGTTAATCCATAATATCATAGTTCAATAATAAAATCTTTAAATAGAAATAAATACAAAAAATTATAAATAATAAAAATTATAGAAAAAATGGCTTTATATTAACCATATTAAAGAAAAATAAGTCTGCTAAATAATAATTGTTTTATTGATGTTAGAAATGAAATACAAGATTTAAAACTAACCCAAAAATAAAATCATTTTTCAATTTCATGGGGAATCGACAATTCAACCTTTTTGATCAAATGTACTAACCCTTGATGTTAGAATTTGTTGATGTTAAAATTGGCCATGAGGGCAGAGATGGAAATTTGTTGGAGTAGAGTGTCACCTC